TTGTTAACGCGTGCCTGCCTCCTAATTGTAATTACAATCTCTGCCAACTATCGCATCGATCTGTTTACTGTTGGAGTCGTGAACCGCTTTGTCTACGTATTCCTGAATAGATTTTCGACCAAGTTCATGCTGGGGCAGTCGAGTGAAACCAGGAAGCGAGAATTAATTCTTCATTATTGCTTCAAAGGAAACGAAGGTTAATCCGTTCGTTGTTGAGGTCTTGAATTCTAATTATTTTTTGCTCAATAAAACTTCACCTGAATTCAATGAATGCATAATTTTATCAATCAATGAATTATTATAATTTCTATAAACAAAAAATTGCATTTATTTTCATTTTTGACAAGAAATCAGTTCAATTTTTGTAAAAAAAAAAATATATTATTACGTTTAATATGATTCTTTATCGAGGAAGAAATTATTTTAAATTTTCCCTATGCAAGAAGCCATTCTAATTCCTACGTTAATCTTCTAAGCGCTCGAGTGCTCAAGGCGTGCAGAGGTAGTATTTCCTCGCGAGCAGCCCTATTATTCCTATTACAAGAAGCACACGTTGCCGGAAACAATTGCTCGCGTAATTACGTTCGTTAAATAACTATGATCTGTATAAAGACGCAGACGATTCCCTCGTTGCAGCCGACGAAGAAAGTGTTGCGCGGGAAATTGGATCAGCTGGGTAAAATTATATCGCGGGTGCACCGACGCTGTCGTCGAAAGTGAAAGCATCGACCGTATTATAGCAAATTGCCGCGGATTATGCAGAGCTCGTCCGCAACAATGACAGCCAAATGATCCCCGGCTGACCTTTGTAACCCGTTAAATATCAAACGTCGCGTACGAGCCGACGCGACGCGAGCCAGAAATTTTATTCGAACCACGAATAAACCCAACAGCGGTATTTATTCGAGTCAGTAATTATCTAAGATTTGGGTTAAATTGGGTTTTGCTAAATTCATTTGGAGCAGGAATTTGTATTGACTATCAAATTGTGTAATTAAAATCTTGCTTTGATTTGATGAATAAAATGGTAATAAGATGGCCAAGTAGAGGCTAAGAATTTACCCTTGATAGGAAATTTAATAAAATAATTTGAATATTGATTTGAAACCGTGATATATTACTCGGTGTAACAAATCTTCAGAAGAAAATGATTTAAAATATGAGAAAAGTTACCAACCCTTTTCATCTCATTATAAATAATAAAGTGTCTCGATCAACTAAAAAAACTCGATATTTTCCTCGACCATCTTTCAAGTATTAAATAAAAATAACATTAAGGATCCAGGAATAAATCACTAGCGACCCACGTGGGCACTACTTTAATGATACCATGTTCCACGCGAAGCATTGTGGAGCCCCGTGTCCATATTTGATTCCCCACAACGAAACCTCTTGCGAAACGAGGGGGCCAGGCTGTTGCGCAAGCAAAAACCATTCCAAAAACGAGCGAAAGTATCGCGGGATACCGTTTCGACGAGTTTTATCGTTTGCAAATACCGGGACGCGCGACGCGAGCATTGTAATTGAGTAATCGAATTAAATCACACACGACTGGCAACCTCCCATAACCGTTTCGAGCATTTACAATCACATATCTCAAGCCTAACAAATTTCTTTTTCGGTACTGTTTGTTCTAAGTGAAATTATTTTCATTGGACCAGTAATCATACGTATAGAGATTTACGTTTAGAGATAAGAATAGAGATTTGATCAAATCCCTAAGGTAGATGATCAATTCACGTGAGATAAAATAACAACTCCGTAAGGTCATTTCCCTAAAGAAAGTTAGTGATTTGATCAAATCCCTTAACTGTTTTAGTGAAAAGATGAAATAATATGATTTGATCAAATCCCTTGACTGTTTGAGTGAAAAGATGAAATAATATTGTTTAGATATTAAAAGTATTAATTTAGTAAATCATGCGTTATTAAGTGTAGAGTAGGTAATACAACAATAGTCGTAGAAACATAAATTATTTATTAATTGCATTCCCTAAAAATATTCTTTTTGTTTTTTTAAATATCAGCTTAAGTACCTATTTCTTTTGCTAATTAGTCTCGTATAAATAATTTATGTTTCTATGAGTATTGTTATATTACCAATTCTACTTTTAATAACGTATGATTTACTAAATAAATACTTTCAATATCTAAACAATACTATTTCATCTTTTAGCTAAAACAGTTAAGGGATTTGATCAAATCATACTATTTCATCTTTTCAGTAAAACAGTTAAGGGATTTGATCAAATCACTTACTTTCTTTAGGGAATGACCTCACAGAGTTCTTATTTTAACATCTCCCGTGAATTGATCATCTGCCTTAGGGATTTAATCAAATCTCTATTTTTATCATTTCCCAGCGACATATATAAGTTATATGCAGATATATTTATTTATGTAAGTATAGAAGATCATAATGTGCGCCGTACATTTCCTTTGATTTATCAAAAGTAGGTATTCTTCATTGGAACGTTGAATTGAATCAATTTTTCGAGTTACACCGTTAAAGAAATTGATCACCCACAGGAAAACTAGTTTTTAAAATAAAATAATTTTCGTCTCGTTATTCCTTGGATACTATCAACCCTGTATGTGCCATATCAACCCTTTTATCAAAGAAGAAAGCATTTGTTGCGAGGAGGATCCATAATGGCGACCGTTTCTAAGGACGATTCGAAAGCGGGACCACGGTAATTACCGCTAATCGCGACTAACTAATTGCAGTTAAATTGAAGCAACAAGATCTACGTGCCCCGATCCCCGCGGCGTGTACGCGCTGGTCGAAAGCAACGACGGGATTAGCTCTCGGTTCCGTGGCGCGATTAACATTGCCCGCGCGATACGAGTACGGTACCGTTGCATTCGTTTTACGTTGCAATTCGTTCTACGTGCACTCGTTCTACGTGCATTCGTTCCCCGCTGCTCACGGATTGACATCGACGACCTGCATCGTCTAGAAATCGAAACGTGCCGCGGCTGAGAATGCTCTTGGCAATGCCACGATGTGGTACAGTAGTGCATTCGTTCTTTTTCCCTGTTTTACTCCTTTTTCCAAACGCGTGGATTTCTCTAATCTACCGTTCGATGGTAGATCGAACGTTTCTTCCAATTCGATTTATTGGATGAAAAGAAATTGGCGATGAATGTTTCAGTGCACAGTTAGAAGAATTTTTTACTGGGAATAAATGTGGGTTGAACATTTTTCTTTTTTTTTTTTATATTGTAGAATTGTAAATTGGTTCTAGAAGCATATAAATCTGTAGATTTACATAAATTACATAGCTTACAATTAAATGCAATTGACAAGATGTGTTCTTTCATCTACAGGACAAAAGAAAATAGAACATCAATTCTCTACAATATACAGGGTGTCCCAAAAATGTTGGAGGTCCTTGAAAAGGGTGGTTCAAGGGGTGATTTGAAACAACTTTTTCCTTAGAGAAATTGTTGTCCGAGGCTTCGTTGAGAAGATATTAACGGAAAACACTGACCAATCAGAGCTCGCGTATACTGTTGGAGCGGCCGCGATAGCGATGGCTACGCGCTAGGTAGCCGCTCTCGTACGCGAACAAGTGACTCGACGTGCATCGAAGGATATTGACGCGGCCACTCAGCGCGTAGCATTCGCTATCGCGGCCGCTCCAACGGTATACACGCGCTCTGATTGGTCGGCTCTTTTTATTAATATCTACTTAACGAAGCCCCATCCGACATTCTTGCAAAGGAAAAAGTTGTTTCAAATCACCTCCCGAACCACCTCTTTCAAGGACCTCCAACATTTTTGGGACACCCTGTATATTACATAAGATACAAAACCCAAGTGAAAAAATAAAAAACCATCGAAGTTGCTCAGAAGGTATAAATACCCCCACCAAAATAATTCTTTATTACAATAACACTTTTCAGCACATCCTTAAGTCATGAAATTCCAAAGAAATGAATTAGTAAACCTTCATCCCAAAGTGCAAGCCTCTTCCAAAGAAAACAATATAAAAAAATTGTTTCTCGCCAAAAGTAAAATACAATTTTCCGAATCTGTTCAACGCTCAACCACAAAGGATGCGTGATAGAGGCCCGCGAGATTATCGTAGCCAACGATACTAGGCGATAAAGAGGATTCACAGCGACAACGAGTCACCGCGCGACAAACAACGCCAGACAAGAGGCGTTTGACATGGCGAATAATTATAACCCTTTGTCGACCGCAATCGAAGTTGACTCACTTAGTCGTGACTCATTTCTCTCTTTCCGGGGTGTACGTGTCAGCAGGAGAGGCGTCCTCGAGCGTTCTGCTCAAGATCCGCGACCTTATTCGTTTGATTCGACGGCAGCAGCCTTGCCAATTATCGGCGAGCTACTACGATGGCCTTCGGTTATCTATGGGTCAGTCGAGAAACCGTGTACGCCAGATGTATCGACAGCTTCGCAGAACAGAACTAATTGCAATTCAAACGCCGATCGACTCCCTGGAGCAAACAATCGTGAGAGCCACCAAGGTCTTTGCCTTGGCTGGTCCCTCGAGATATCTGTTCTCCGACCTTGAACGAGCCAGATAGAAACGATTGATTCGTTCTAGAGTCTCTCGACCAGATTTTGAACAAGCATGTTTATTAAATATTGTATCGTATATATTATAATTATATAGATATTTAAAAGTTGTTTGTACAGTTTCGATGATTCAATATCTTTTTGCACTTTCTTGAGGAAAGCAGACTCCTTGGGATTCATTTTATTCTGTTTAATAATACGTTAACTTTTTCTTTGCTATAACACTGTCTCATTGCCAATTAAAAAATAAAAATCTTTCTATCATAAGATAGAGTGGGAAGCAGTTTCTTTTTCATCCCACTATACGTTTCTTCTCTTCTTTAACTATCTGTATAAATAAAATCAACGTTCAGATTACTTCTGAGATTATTCCTGTCCGCCCGTCAGGGTTAAATAAAGAGCAGCTGGACGGATTTGCGGAGAGTGATTTCAGTGCTTGGTTGTTTCAGATATGGCACAAACAGTGCTTCAAGTGTCAGGGTTGCGGAATGATCCTGAACATGCGGACGTACAAGGGGTTCAACAAACAGCCATACTGTGAGGCGTAAGTAAAACAGTCACTCACGTTCTTTTTATTACCCTTTCATGTTCCACGTTGAGCTCGTAAAACGGTCAATTTGTACAGTTGCCTTGAAACCCTAGTCGACGTGCAAAATTATTAGATCTTTGCGAATCCTCGTTCTTTACGAGACTCTCTAAGTCTTAAAGCATGTTTTATCTACGATACATTCACTCGAGAAACATGAATTATATTTACAGAGCCACTTGTTGGTGAGGATAATTCTTCAAATTGTTGGCAATAAAATACAAGTGATGTTGCAAGGAAACAAAGAAGCACTTAGGTACTAATTAAGATAAGGCGAACAGAGCCTGCAGCCCCTCAATTTCTGAATCCTTCGATCTTCCAAGTACTCGACTAAAAAATTCTTTTCCATTTTCATCGTTTTTCCATTAAATTAAATAATTCCTGCGGAGATCCTCCTAAGGAGGATATGCTCCATAGTACCACTCCTCTATTGTTTTCTTTATGAAGAGGACCTCCTATCGTTCCCTTCGACCCAGACTTGTAAGAATTCTTGATACAGCCCTGGACGCGCGGAGCGTTCGATTTCGCCAGTCGCCGCTGCGAGCAGTATTGCGAATCTTTTGATAGTTAAACGCATGCCAGGCGTGTCGACGCAGCGAAAGCAAGCGGTCCTGCGGTCAGGATAATATATAGCTGTCGTACCTTTCCAAGAGATCCTCCTTCGATGGTTCCTCTCAGCTGCCGCGTCCTTGCCGTGGCCACGGTAGCGGTGCATCGAGCCACGCGGCTATAGTAACGTTCCCAGTAAGGATTTCAGGTGAAAGGATCCGAAAGTATCGTGCTGTTGACCCCAAGTATCGGTTCGCCTCGGATATGCAATCGGTTTTTTTCTTTATTCGCTACCAACCGGTGATAAGGAACATGGCAACGCCGCCGTTTCTGTTAACCCATCGAGGACCAATATATCGGCTTAACACAAGACTCCATTTGCAATTGCTTCTTCAACGTGTATTTTAATTATTTAATTTCGCTTGTTAGTATGGGGCTGTGAAATTAAATCCGGAGGATTCAATACTTTTTGTTGTAGCTGAAGTAGTTGGAATTTATTATTAAAATCTTCTGATTACTATCGGGTTGTCGGAGAAGTCGTGACGCATTTCTGCAACAGATGGCACTAGTTTACTTTTGACAGTACTAGAGTCAGTTGCAACCATGTGATTGCTGTCATTTGACAACTAAGAACTCTAGCTTCGTACTAAACAAAAAACTGATCGATTTGGTTGAATTTGGAAAATTGTACGATAAATTGAAAATGGAAGATCAAACTGTGCATTTTTGTCATATTCTATCGTTTTACTTCCATAAAGGGAAGAACGCAAGTCAAGCTTGCGAAAAGTTGCGTAAAGTTTGTGGTGACAATGCTTTACAAGAACGTTAGCGCCAACAATGGTTCACGAAATTCCGTGCTGGTGATTTTAATCTCAGCGATGCTCCTCGGTCAGAGAGACCGATCGCGGTTGATGATGACAAAATCAAAGCAATAATTAAAAAATTACTGGAGCTTGGATGGGATGTGTTACCACACCCACCATACTCGCCAGATCTTGCGCCATCGGACTTGCATTTGTTTCGCGCTCTTCAAGCTTCTTTCCGTGATAGAACGTTCGATTCCGATGAAGCTGTTACACAGCACCTTAGTCAGTTTTTCGACGATAAAGACAGATCCTTCTATAAACGAAGAATTATGAAACTCACTGAACGGTGGCGACAGGTTATCGAACAAAACGGGCTATATATCATTGATTGATCATTGTCCTTTCTATAAATAAATAACATTTGAAAAATCAAGAAAAAATACGTCATGACTTTCTCGACAACCCAATAGTTGACCGTCTAATCGCAAGTTGTGTAGTGTCAATCGAAGATGGACTATGGATATAAAACAAATACAATCTGTTCCTTAAAAGGAATAGTATTCGTTCCCTTTCTATCGCTACCTGCGTAGAATACTCAATATTTGAATAAACCACGACAAAATAGATCTAAAACTAAATCTCTATCAGTTTACAAAAGAGTTGCTTGTTTGTCAGAATCAGTACAGCGTTGGAATTCAATGTAAAGCTGGCATACCGTGTCAAGAATAATGAAAACTGAGAATAAGAATCTGGGATTCCATTTTCTATCGGTATCTCTATTTCATTCCGAGTTTCCTGTAGTATGCCACTAAGTAGTTGCGGATGACGACACAAAGTTGTCGAGTCGGTATGCATACGGGGATAATTGAGGTCCGTCTATAGAGAACGCGAAAGGTAATATGTTCTAATAACGAACCGCTCTCCGGTAGAATATTAATGAGTTTACGAATCGAAGATTCGTATCTCTATCCGCTGATCAACGAGCCATCGTTACGCGCTATATATAAACGAGATTATCATATTTTTTGTTGTTGTCAATCCGTTTTCGTTACGTGGTAAGTGTGCAGGCTTTCGAAGCCTAATTACGGGAACGTTATTGCGCAAAATTGTAATGATCGACACACGGGGACTGTCGAAACGCAATTTGTTGCAATGTAACATTTGCAACGTGGCAGATTTCTTTTTTATTCGTGCTACTTGCAGGAACAGCTGGGCAAAACTTTACTGGAATAGAACGAAGGAACAGTTATATTTTTTGTTAATATTTAGAATGTTCTTTTTCGACTAGAAGGATAAGTGTTTTTTTTTTTAGCTATTTACAAGGGGGTAGGGGAAGGATCCGTCGACGACCTCGATAGCTCGAGTTGTCGATTATTTGACGAATACATCCGGTTACCTATTTGATCGACCGATAATTCTCCACTCTAGATTGATAAATCGTCGTCAAGCGACTCTTCGAAATTGATTTTCAGTTACGTTCAATTTCGTGTCGCTGACGTATATAAAACAGTACATTAGTATGAGGTGAAGGCCGAGGAAGGGGCGTGCGAAATCAAACGTTTCTTTGTGATGACTTCTCCACAATCATTTCTATTAATGTCTAACTAGACAAGTATATGAAAGCCATAGAAAAGGAAAAGAAAATTGAAAATATAGCTCTGGAATACACAAGCTCAATTCGGAAAGGCTGCAATAAACCATTGGACGAACAAAGGGAAAGTAAATAATTTAGGGATACTCGAACAAAATCGAGGAATAAATTGCAACGTTCTATGCACGATTAATCGAATTTCTTCTATCCCATCCGCTGTCCAAATAAGGAGCACCGATTCTCCACTCGCCGACAACTTAATTCACGATGGGGAATAATCAATTTATTGCGGTTTCTCACACGGCAAGTTATCGGTATGCAGCGTCCCGCGGTAAAGCGGTCCCAGTGACTCGCGGAGTATTCAGAGTGAGCATCTGTGATGACGAAATCATTCCGTTCGCGTTTCAAATCTGAATTTCTCCGCTCTTACGTCTTTCCTACCGTCTAACCATCCGCCATTATTCTGGAACGCGGGTAAAAAAGTTTCTCACCTTGGTCGATAGGAACACGCTGCATGAATTTTCTTTCCAAACACGGAACAAATTTATTCTAGGGAGGAAATATTTTTGCAACGGCTCGACAATTCGATTATTTTATTTAAAAAGTAATTCACTTTTACTCGGCCATCTTCGTCGAACGACGGAAATAAAGATATCGATAGAAAAGGGATTCGCAGATCCCTATTCTCAGTTTTCATTATTCTTGACACGGTATGCCAGCTTTATATTGAATTCAAACACTCTACTGATTCTGGCAATCAAGTGACTCTGTTGTTGAGTGATAGAGATTTATTTTCACTTTCTATGTTGTTGTGGTTTATTAAAATATCGAGTATTCTACGCAGGTACTGATAGGAAGGAAACGAATACTATTACTTTTAAGGACCGACGGAGCTGGAACACAGTTCTGCAAATTACGCATAGCAAACAAGTTTCGAGCTTCGGTACTCTGCATCAGGACCCAGAAGCCAGTGCATGTGTCAGCAATGCGTGTCGAATCAGACGAGATGGGCCGAATAAGCAAAGCAGAACACGTGTGAGTCGTGAGATTCATTCATTCGTCTGGTAGTCTCCCTTCGCTCCTCTACCCTTCGCCTTCATTTCCCTTGCTCTTTATCTCCCCCCTTTCTCGCGTCTGCCCATCGTTCATTTAATTTTTATAAGCTCGTATATAGGGTGATTCTAGCAAATGGGACAGGCCACTCGTTTGCTTCCAGATAGAACAACGGAGGAAACAGTTGAGAGGCGAACGAGTTCTTCGATATCATTTTTTTATGTTAAATTTTAATTTATTGCCACTCCATCGAAAAAACTATACGAATATCATTTTTCTTCCTCTTTGACCTCTCTCTTTCGATTTCGAGTGAACGTAGTCATTGATTGAGGGGTGTGCATCAATAAGGAGGCAGCTTTATTTTTTCAAAGATGAAGGGATGATTGAAGAAACATGAAGGAAATGAAGGGAACTCTTCATTTTCTTCATCTTCCTCCAAGTTCCACACAATTTTCTACGCATCCTCCTGACCGTGTCACGAAGCACCCAGTGCACAATTTCAAGCCATTTCTCTGCCACATTCCGAATGATCCAACGTGTCCCGTTAATACGACTCCTTCGACCTCGTCGATGCTCGCCATCGCAACCTAAACGCCATTTCTCCGTCTAGCGGATGCTTTTCCCACGTCGTTGACCAGCGAAAACGATTCGAATTAAGAGAAACGGTTCTCCTGCGAATGTACTCCGCCGCTTATGAATGCACGCGTACACTTGTTCCGGGTTCTGTACCCAGTGACGTGCGCTGAATTAAGTACTTCAGCCTATGGCCGAAGGTAGCACGTGTTCCTCTGGTTTTGTTCGCCCGACGTTCATTCCCCTTCTTCGTCTTCGCGTGCTCATTACGTATTTGCAACTCGCCTTGCTCTTCACTGTTTTCTTTAAACTGTTACAGTTATCGATATCAAAGTAGGGCACAACCCAGCGTGGGTTGTTAAATCGAACGATGATTCCTCTTTAGA